TGAAAACGTTAGACTGTTTACTTATGAATATTAATTTAATTATAAGTAACAAACATATTTAATCCGCTGAATTTGTTTATTATTATTTTTTTTTAAATAAAAATTATACATTATGTATAATTCCCTTCATAATACTATTTTTTGTTACAAAATATCTACTACAGATGCAGAAATGATTGATACTTTGTAATTCACTTACTTTTTTTTTTAATTTTAAAAGTAATAAAAAAACAATGTCTATAAATTTATTAATGGCTACTTTTGATCACCAAAAATAAATAGGTAATAAGTAAATGTAGCTTAAATTTATAATACGAGTTAATTAGTCTAAAACAAGGATTATAATAAGATACTGCAAATTTCAATAAGAGATTGCCTTAAAACAAAGTTCTTGTTTCTATTTCGGTTTCGGCCGAAACTAAGAAAGGAGCCGAAATTTAGTTTCTGTTTCGGTCATAAAACCATATTTCGGTCGGACCTGACAAGCCAGGTAGTTAAACGAGGAGAGGAATAGCATTCGAACGTGCCGAATTTAGCGCGCCTGGCGATCATTAGATGAGTCTGGCAAGGCTTTCGGGATGTTCCACATTAGCCAGATTGTATTTGAAGCTGTTTTCATATTATACATTTTTCTAGTAGTGAGAACACTTGTAACAGGGATCCTTACTGGACAATGCCAACTAAAAGGACACCTTAGTAAACTGAGATTAGGAAGATAGTGACTGCAGATTCTGTGAGGAGGACGAAACCTTCGTTCACATTCTAACTGAATGTGTAGCACTCCAGAATCAAAGGGCACTATACCTAGGAGCATATAAAATAGAAGAGGGAAATTTACCTAACTTGAAGCCACTCCAAATCCTACACTTCCTTGAGAAAATATAATTGGAAGGATCGTTATAGGCATTGAGACATTTCCGTGCTGCATAAGCGACAGAAGGGGACACAATAGATCTTTTAGGTCGCAGTGTATTAACACCCCATTCCCAACATAACATAGTGAGAAAACTGCAAAAAAATTAAATCCACCAATCACAGTTCATATTTTGGACACCCAACTACTATTAATTTTAAAATTTTAAATTCTGTCAGTATATTTTTTAGTCATTAAGATTGCATACGTTAAAATTAGTTATTTTTGTTTAGAATCGATAAAAAATGGCATTTAAAAAAAAATTCATTTTAATTAAATTGTATGAAACTGATTTAATTACGAGTATTAAAACTAAAAACCTGGAGTGGAGTGGAGCAGAGGACAGAGCATCTAGATTCCACGCGAATAGCCTGGTTTCGAATCTGGACAAGGGGCTTATTTTATGTTTATTATATTTTATAAATTAATAAAATTCATAAATTATTTTAAAATTAGTTATTTTGTCTAAACCTAAAATAATTTTGTAAATTTTTATATGTTCCTTAGTGGTTCATAGAAAAAATATACTGTACAACTCGAGTGAATTGTCCATATCTACACTTGTTGCACAAACTACTATTTCATGACTACGAAAATGAGGAATTTTTTTAATGAATTATTGTTATGAAAATTTTTCAGGTTTTTTACTTGACACAAATATATATTATATATGATATTTTATCCATTTTCATAGATTCGCCAAAATTTTTTTACTTAACTTCAGTATACCTCTAGAACTATTATATATTATATGACTAGGACTAGGGCTTTAGCCCCCCCAGATCTGATGACATAACTTCGCCCATGCCAGAAGGTCGTTTTCTCTTCTGTGGCTCCTAGAAATTAAGGAATATTAAATCAAAAATTGGTAAAGGCATTTAATATTAAGGGTAATTCAGGTTTTAGTGCACAAACTTAAACAGAAAAAATAATAAACATATTTTTTAGACCCAATTTGCCACACAGGAAAAAATCACATTTCCCGATTTTCAGATGTGAAAAATATTGAATTACTTTTGTAGTATTTTTCACAATATCTTATTATTAGCCGAAGTAAGTCAAAGTCAAATGTATATTCCCGTTTCGCCTGACATAAAAATTTGGTACGGTTTGGTAGCGTTTTGCCTGACTACATGTTAAACGGAAAAAAATAGTTGCGATTCTCCTAACCTGCTCAGGTAATAAATATGTAAATATGTATTTGCTGTAAAGAAATCTATTACTAACAAATGAATAATAATAATAAGAAATGAACATAAAATTAAATTAAAAATGTTATCTATATATATATATATATATATATATATATATATATATATATATATATATATATATATATACATAGTATATCTATGAAAAAAGATTTAAAGGAAAAATTATCAAGATGGTTTAGAAAATTTAAAAATATTGATTTAAAAACACTGGTTCAAAATGCTTAATAATGTCAATAAATGCAGTTTTTTTTGTTATAAATCAAATTATGCATGTATTTTGAAAATGGCCATTATGATAAAAAAAGCACGCATTATCCAACTTATGGTCAGGCGGAACGATACCACAATTTGAGCTTGTCAGTCGAATCGAGAAATTTTAATTGGTCAGGCGAAATGGCAACAGGCGAATCGGGCATAAATCAAGTCAAATACATAGGTATAAATATAAAGCACTCCGTCGAATATTTGTAACTATAACTTTGCGTCTTGGTTTTTGACCTTCACGTAGCCAAAGAAAATATTAACTATTTGGATTACGACGCCTCCTGCAGTTTTATTTATACTCGTGGTATCGTGGTCTTCAAGTCTGGACAGGAAAAATCGACAAGATCTAATATGAAACTTACTCGTCGTACAATATTCGAGTCTGGACAGGAAAAACATAGTCTGTAGTGTATTCAAGTCTGGATAGGAAAAATCGACAAGTTTATACTTTATACGTGTATTCATGGTATTGCATGTTGCACACAGAATTAACTAACCTATTGATTTTATTATATTTAATAATTAACGCTAATTGAATAGCTATTTGATTTCAAAAATAGATATGTTTGTGTCACAATAGGAATAGGTCATTATATCAACGAACATAAACATTATTTATTATATTATCATGAATTGAGATAAAAACATTTTTGATTTCTTTAGTGTCTTAGTGTCTTGTTCATTGGAATCGTTAGAAAAATTAAAAATTCGAATTGTATACAGACCTCCAGTTTGGCGCCCCTTTAGAAGTGCGCCCACGTGCGGTGCACGCATTGCACGCGCAGTTGCAGGGGCCCTTTATGTTATCCAAACTATTCTTGCTCTGGCTATTGTCCTATCCTCATTGGTGACATTTGCACAACTGAGTTGTCCATGTTTACAAAAAAATAATGTGTTTTAAATAACAGGATGAAAGAAGAAAATTTTATAATTTTGTCTAAATAAGTAACTCTGCTTCAGCTGTATTTTCAAATTATTGTTTAAATGAAGATATAATATTAATGCTTTCAAATGGGTTCCTATAGGATTGATTACTTAGAACATGTAGAGATATGTGGGATGTCACTTATTAAGTGCCTATCAAAAGCCCATTTTTAATTTTTTAATTTATTATTTTATTATATTCTAAAAAAACAAGTATATTAAAAAAATATGTATATGATTACAAAAATTATGGTTAAATTACATTTTACATTGGATTATTACAAAAAATCAAATAACTTAGACTTGCATTCTAAAATGTGCAATTCCTCGAAGATATTCCATAATATTACGAGTTTATAGAATTGTGTAAGTAGTTTTAAACGACGTGCAAAATCTTTGTATATTTTTTTTTGTTATTTCATTACCTGCCAGAATCTGCTTTATTTTAATTTGTTAAGGCTCTCGTCTTTTTGTAAAGCCTTAATTACCTTCCAAATGTTGGGATGTGCAGTAGAAACAATGGAACTAAAACTGTTGTGCCATCCTTCAACTGCATTATTTATTCTAGCAATTCCCTCTCTGGCTGTATTGTAACAATTCCAAACAGATATAGGAAATTTTGATAACCCTCTTCAATATAATCTGCCTATCCACTTGTCTTCAAAGTAGTTTAATAATTCTACTAAGTCCTCGTTTTCTGTATAGAATTCGCATTCCAATAATGTATCAAATGCACTTTCTACATCGTTCTCAGGAACATAAGCAAGTGCAGCCAGAAGTGGCTAATTTGACGAAATGAATTCTTCTTCCACATATTCATATCTTATAATACCAAAACTGTTTGGCGAATTTAGTAAAATTATACTGAGAAATAAAAACAATATATATATATAGCCATTAATAACTTTTGAATTTTCAACTTGACCACCCTGTATTTCAGAAACAAGTAATATTTTATTCAAGCATGTTTCGTTTAATCGATTTATTTTTATTCAGAGAATCTTTAGTTTTTCTATTTCCCATTCTCAATGGGCCTCCCTGTATAAATCTAACTTTTATTTAGAGAAGAAATTTTTATTTTATTTTTGTGGCGATGCATTGTCGCGGAATGAATTGGCATAGCGTTGAAATGTAGGGCGATGAAATTTCGCGCGATGAATTGTCGTGCGATGAATTGACGGGAGACCCAGTCACATATCTCTTCCAGCATTTAACTATTTTAAAAAAATAATATCGTTATGCTTTCGATCTCACCGCTCAGCTCTCACAAAACACAACCTCTTGATGTGTCTTTTTACGGACCCTTGAAGACTGATTATAGACACAAATGCAACATGCACATAGAGACACACTTAATGGCTAAAATAACTCCGTATGATGTTGCTAGTTTATTCAACAAAGGTTTTGCAAGGGAAAAGCAGGATTCTGAGCTAGGGGAATTTATCCTATGAATCCAAATGATGTTTTCACCGAGTAAGACTTCTTGGCAGCATCGCTGATGGCTTAAGACTTAGACTAACTAGCTCAAAACGAAACTAGCGACATTCTTGAAGCTGTACGGTACCAGAACATGACTCAAGAATCAACAATTTCTATTCCTGATTCTTCGTTAGAGATGCCAATTCAAGTAGTTGAATCTCCTATGCCTGATCAATTAATGGAAACCTGGATCTAATCCGTATAAGTCACCTGTTCCTGGCACCAGTAAATATACACTTTTTGTCGAAGAAAGACGAACTCCAATACTTTTTGCTAATACAGCAACAATCCCAACTATTGTGGCATCATCAAAGCCAGGTCAAAGGAAAAGAAAACAAAACGCTACCATATTGACAGCAACTCCCTTGAAAGATATATTAGATGAGAAAGAAAAGAAAAAAGCTGAGAGCAATAAAATTGGAAAATAAGATAAGACAGAGACTAAAAAAGAGGAAAATAACAGGAATAAAAAAGGAAAATCTTATAAACGTAAAGTGTTGCAAGAATCAGAAACAGAATATGAAGTTGATAAACAAAATTAAAATGTCTGCGATGATGATAGTAATGATGAATTGAGCGTGAACGGTGTTGAATACAATATTTGTGAAGAATTTAGGAGAAACACTGAAGTATAGTATCGCTACTATGTGCGGGTTTTGGTCTAATGTTATGTGCTCTGGAACGGATTCTCTAGATTGGTTGCATATGTGATTTATGTATCTAATATTACTTTAAAATGCTCAGTAGTGATTGTAGACTTAATTTTAGCAGATTAAGGTTGATATCAATAATTATATTTCAAAAAAACAGGTTTGAGCGTTATTACCCTTTTGTTCGAGCGCCATTATCCATAGCCAGAGGCAATGACGCTAAAATATGTTTTCTTTATTGTAAGGTATCCTACAAAATATAATTTAGTTTTGTGTTAAGATGTTGATTACTAAATAGTTATACGTCTGTTATTGTTTCATCCTTTTAATATAATCCAAAATTTTTAAGAATTACATCGTTTTTCCATAACTGAGCGCCATTCCCCCGGCTTCCACTACATGACAACAGAACTGTCACAAATATTAAAAATAACTTACAGTTTCTGCTAAATAAATGTTATGATATTATGTTACTAGTAATAAAATATTAATATTGTTGTACTATAAAGATAATGATGTTGTTTATGAATACATATTTTGATTCTCTTTATATTATGACCTTTCTAATAGGTAATGTTTTTAATAGATATTCAATCATAAAAATGAGTTTTTTTTTATTTTGGAATACACCTAATTTTTTTTGCTTTTTATCTGTAGGTATATAGGCATATTTGTATGTATGTAGTGACTTCTTGACTTTGTTAAAAATAATTTTATTCTTTTAAAATAAAGTATTTTTTATCTTGTTTTTTTAAGATATTGTAGATTTGTATAGATCATTTTCAGATTTATTTCATTCGATATTTAAAGAATTTGTCTTCGGCCACCCCAATGATTAAAAGATTGAGTATTCAAGAGTTTGATGAAGTGACACGACTATAGAGGGTCAAGTGTGTGGGTTAAATTGTATATACCTTTCGAGTTTCCTGGATTGTTTACTTGGCGGTGTTTTGACTGATGATGATGCAACGGTCCCGAGATCGTCCCGATGACTTTCATTATTTCGAGCTTTATTTCTACTTGAGATTTAATGCCATCATCTCGTGCTTTGACAGAGACGGATACTATATAGCATCTAATCAGTGGCGTAGGTGGATGTGGACTATTGAGTGTGATTTTTTTGAAGAGACTTGACATGTGGATATGATGAATAATAATTAAGTAATAGAGATGTCTTTGCGCGATCAAAAGTATGCCTCACAGTTAGTTCATGGTGGTCAATGCTGAAAAATACGGTTATTTTTTTAATTAAATCTATACATGGTGTTTTACACAACTAACGGCACGGTGTCTTGCGTCTATACAGGGTGATTCATATTTTGGATGATTCTATGGAAAAAAAATATTTTTTTGCTCAAAAACTGAGTGTCAAATATTAGTACCTACTTACTGAGATATAGAGTGTTATTCTTTTTTTTGCAAATATTGTATATAAAAGTCTGTACAATTAAGTTTTTTGATGTGAGAAAAACGAATAAGCAATTATTTTTGGTCTATTGCATAGAACTCGCTGAGTAAGCTATGTTGATTTAACAGAATCCCTCCTAATATTTCACTCAAAATTATTAACAAAAATATATATAGGGGAGCGATAAGTAATTTTTTTAACTATAAAAGTTATAAGAAAATGGTATTGTACGGTTAAAGTATAAGTATAATACTAACCGACATTGGGGTCTATTCTGTAACAATTCCTTTATATTTAACAGCCTTTAAAAATATTTTCTTCTTTACTTCTGTCATTATTTAAACGGATCTTTAAAATACATTAGAGGACTATCTTAAAGAAATCTGTTTAAATAATAACAGATGTAAATTAACGAATACACATATACTTTTAAAGGCCGCCAATATTTTTAAAGGCCGTTAAATATAAAGGAATTGTTACAGAATAGACCCCATTGACTGCCATATAATTATAATAATTGAAAAAAAAGGATAAAAAAACTGTTTAAATCATTCTGGGCAAAATCGCGATTACCCGGCACCTTATGATAATGCCGAAAACCAGGAGGATAATAGTCCAGGGCATTTAGATCAAAATCACCCGAATAGCGGAACTTTTCTCATACACCAGATATCGAGATGCGGTTTTCTGCATTGTATTCAGGAAGGTCTAGGGAAAAAAGTTTTCATGGTCTGGTTTGGCGCGTTTTTGGAAAAATGCCTTCTGGGCCGGAAAATGCATTTTAAAATTGCATCGTAACTTGCACCATTATAGAAACGAATGAAAACTCGGAAATCATTATTCGGGAGGTTTTCGGGGCTGCTGAACTCGATTCTGGCATTATAATTACCCGGGGGTGGTTCTGTGGAAGTGGCTCTGTGGGGGTGCGCGGGGGGTGAATTGGGGGAGAAATGACAACGTGCATGAAAGTCGCTCCAAACTCGTTACTCGGGGGTTTTCGGAGATGCCTAATTCAATTATGGCATTGGAATTACCCGGGGGTGGCTCTGTGGGGGTGCGCGGGGAATGAATTTGGGGAGAAATGGCAGCGTACATGAAAGTCGCTCCAAACTCGTTACTCGGGGGTTTTTGGGGAATTTTTAATTCAATTCCGGCATTGGAATTACCCGGGGGTATTCGAGGTGGCTCTACTGGGGTGCCCGGGGGCTGATTTGGGGGCGAAATTGCACAGCCCATGGAAATGTCTCAAAAATCCTTACTCGGGTGTTTTCGGGGATGCAAATTTATTTCCAGCATTAGATTTCCCCGGGGGCGCTCGGGGGTCCCTCTGTGTATTTGGCTGGGGGTCATTCTGGGGGTGGGGGACCAAAATCCAAAAAACTTGATTGTTCTAGCACTATATTTATGTGTAACAAAAAACCAACGTGGTATAAGAGTGCCGGACAGAACTCAAACACCAAAAAATGTCAAAAATCCAAGAAACTTTATAACTGTAGCACTGTATTTACATACAATGAAAAATCAACGTGGTCCTGAAAGACAGATGTAATACTGATGCATCACAAAGGCCGACTGCGCGCGGGAATCATGGTATTATACCATGGTGGGAATAGAGAAAGGCATCTGGTGGGGCGTCGATGGAATTTCTAGACTTTTTAATGAAAGGGCTAGATGTTCTTGAGGAAAAGTGAAAGGTACAAAAGGTCTATTTCAAGAATGTTTGAGAATGTTCAATATTGTTTGGGAGAAGCCACATATATATTTATTTAAAATTCAATCTAAATTTTTATTATTCATACCCCCGGGGAAGTCTATTGCCAGAATTGAATTCGGCATCCCCGAAAACCCTCGAGTAACGAGTTTGGAGCGCTTCCCATGGACTATGTCATCCGCCCCCGAATGGCCCCCAGGATACCCCCGCAAAGCCGCCCCTGTACGCCCCCAGTTAATTGCAATGCCAGAATTGAGTTCGGCATCACCGGAAACCCCCGAGTAACAAGTTTGGAGCCACTTTTACGCACGCTGCCATTTCTCCCCCGCGCACCCTCACAGAACCATCCCCGGGTAATTCTAATGCCAGAATCGAGTTCGGCAGCCCCGAAAACCCCGGAATTATGATTTCCGAGTTTTCAGTCGTTCCTATAATGGTGCAAGTTACGATGCAATTGGAAAATGCATTTTCCGGCCCAGAAGGCATTTGTTCAAAAACGCGCCAAACCAAACCATGTAAACTTTTTTCCCTGTACCTTCCTGAATACAATGCAGGAAACCGCATCTCGATATCTGGTGTATGAGAAAAGTTCCGCTATTTTTCCTAACTACCCTGGACTATAATGCCAAACACTAGGAAGGGAGTTGCGAACAAAGGTACATTTATTTATTATATTAATAAAAAAAATACATTATTACTTTTAAAGTACAAATATAGGTAAACTGTTGAACTATAATGATACTAACCAAAAACTAGATTCTTAGGAAGAAGAAAAAAGTTACTTAAATTATCAGGCAGAACTTATTTGCCTTTAATTAAGAATCAACTGATAAAAAAAACATTAAATGCGAAGGTCACAGTTGTAGTTGTCAGGCTTCTCTGCACCGCTGCATAATTTATGTAACCACCCTCCACAGTTGATACATCTGTACCAGATTTCATTCTTGCCGTATTCCCCACAGATAATGCCAGACTCTCCATCATTATGGTCAATATTCATATTTTATTGGTCAGTGTCATCTAATTCATCGTCATTACACAGATCTTGATCATTAATGCTTTCCTCGTCACTTGACGAATCAAAAACTTTTCGTTTAACCGACTTTTTAATTTTTCTGGTTGCTAATTTTGATTTTTGTCCTTTATTTTCGGTATATAGTTTTCAATTTTTTCTGTCTTTTGTTTTCTTTTTCCTCAAGTTCCTCACTGTAGGGTGTAGAAGTAAGAACTTCAGACCGTTGCTTCGTTCTGCCTCTTGAAGTTATATTTTTAGTACTACGTTTAACTTGCAGAATTTTTACTACACTAATAAATGGTACATCGCCGCTATCTTTAGAGCAACCAGCAGTGGACTCTACAGGACCTTTTTCAGTCTCAGTATTTTCTTGAGCTGGGTTTCTGGTGTTATCTAAGGTCGATAACTGAGAATCCCTAAGATTTTCTCTAATAACGGCAGCTTCATTTTCAGCGAGTTGGTTATTTTCAGTTACAATGAAAATAGTCTAAGGCAAAAAATCATCTCAGGTAAATATATTTCGGTTGATGGGAAAAGTTCCCGATTTCTGAAAACCACTTATCGCTTTCTCTGGGGTGGCAACCCATATATAAGCTTGTAACGGTTGGAACCGTTATTCCGACACAACCATCTCTTAAATGTCATTTGTCGTCTTATTCCTTCATTCGCCTTGTGAGAATTATTTTTATATATCGTAAAAGCTGTCTGATTTTATCAGGTAAGTTTTAAATTATTGTTGAAAATATATATTTTGTACAAGGATTTCTTAAATAGATTGTCAAGTATTGAAAATAACCTCAATACCAACAATGGATAACACATGTTCGTTTTATATTAATTTTTATACAGGGTAGCTGTTAAAGATGGAACCAAACCTATAATGCTTAAACGGTTTAACATACAAAACCTAAAATTTCAGAATTTCAACTAAATACATTTGCGCATATTTTAGCACAAAAATAATTTTTTTTATAATTACAAAATTTTAAGCATGGCTGCCATCTTTATTTTTTAAAATAATATCATTTCTGTTGTGTTTAAACTAGTGCTGTACATCAGATCCGGATTTTTTTTTAATCCGGATCAGATCCGGATCTGATCCGAATTTTTCTACGTGAACAATCCGGATCCGGATCTATCCGAATGCGACAACCGGATCCAAGATACGGATCCGAGATCCGGATTCAAGAACCGGATACGCGAACCTTTTATATACTGTTGCCTATTTAGTTTCTTTTTAGAAACATGAATACTCTCCCTTTCCCCGCAGATTAACCAATCAAGACCAAGAAGAAAGAACCGTAGAAAGCTCAAGTGTATTGGATTTCCTTTTTCCAAAACCGTCAGGTACTAAGGAGTTGAATGAAGTTGAAAAATATATTAAAGAATAAGATTTCGACAAAAATAGATGTCCATTAAAATGGTAAGAAGCAAATGAAAAAAAATCTTAAAATTATCAAATCTATCGAGAAAATTCCTCTGTATTCCTGCAACCTTCACACCTTCTGAGAAGGTGTTTTGTGTTTTCTAGAGCAGGAAATATTGTTCGGGCAAAGAGAAGTTGCCTTTCGTTTGAAAATATAGACATACTAGTATTTCTATATGAAAATAAGAATGTATAGTATCTGCGACAACTCAAAATGTATTTATTTGTTTTATATGCTTTAATAAAAATTAAAATATATCTTTTTGCAAATTATACCTCTTTTGTATGCCTATAACTTATACATTATCATACTTGTAGCTATCTATTAGCTATTGTCTCTTCCTATTTATCCGAAAGTAGGATTCGGATCTTAAATAGGAGTCAGAGAATTCGGATTTGAGATCCGGATCTGAGATACGAATTTGAAATCCGGATCTGAGATCCGAAATCCGAATCCGGTTCCTATATTTAAATCCGGTGACGGATACATCCGGATCCGGTTTTTTTCTTCAAGGATCCACGATCCGTTAAAAATTCGGATCCGTTCACCACTAGTTTAAACCCCATGTGTGATACATTTTTGTAATCAGGGTGTTAAACCCTTTCAAATGGTATATCACATGACCTATGTTGCAATTTAAAAAAATCAAGATTGCGGCCTTGCTTAAAATTTTGTAATTATAAGAAAAATCATTTTTGGGCTAAAATATGCGCAAATGTATTTAGTTGAAATTCTAAAATTTTGGATTTTGTATGTTGAACCGTTTAAGCATTATAGGTTTGGTTCCATCTTTAACAGCTACCCTGTATTATTTTTTTTTAATAAGATATGCTTTACTGTGTTTAAATATGGTAAATAAAATTTTTTCCGTTTCATATTAATTTTAGTCTCTGTGAAATTATTCATTTAATAGTTTAAAATTGTTAATTTAATAATTAAAACATTTTATCCAAATCCTGTTCCAATTTCCTATTTAACCCTTTCTTTTTAGCATGGCTATATCTAGACGGTTTATTTGGATTTATATCTAGACGTTTTGAATTTCTCTCAAGACATTTTTGAATTCCTATCAAGAAGTTTTATGGTTTTATTACCTAGAAGTTTGTTTTGGTTTTGATACAATCTGAAGACAGTGGTTTGATTCATCTCTAGAAGATCTAGACGGTTTCGAGTTTAAGTTAGAATACCAAATATCACGAGAGCATTCAAGTTGCAGAATTACGAATAAGGATCCCGAATCCCTTTAAAGAAGGCCTGAAGATATACCATGCGATAAACATTCCTTTTAACGAAAGATAAGTGCTTTTGAATAAATCATCTTAAATTTAAATTTAGTAAAACTATGTGAATTAGAATTTGCTACTACCTTATCTAAAGCATGGTTTAAATATAATTTGTTAGTAGTTAGTGATTTTCTATATTTTTATCACTAATCTGAAGTCAAGTGTAGTAGGCTTTAAATTTAGTGGTGCCCAACTTCTTTTTCAAAGTTATTCGAGTTATTTAATAACCTAACTCACGCCCAATCAATTGAGCTTAAACACATTATAACAAATAGATAAAATATCAAGTATCACGTTATAAGCTTAAGTAAATAAGCTGTTAACGTCATAAATAGTTATTTTTGCATATGGTCTCATTTTTATAAAGATATCACATTCGACATCTTAAGCGTTTTTCAGTGATGAACAAAAATTCAAATTCAGAGGTTGGATTCGGTGGGAGATAGAAAGCAAAATGATTCCATTCTCCTTGCAGAAGGTATAAATGTGACTACTATTATTATCCAACACGATTAATACTGGGTCATCTCTAGTAGTTTGTGATTTTTTGCAAAATGTTGAATCCATACCAAAAACATCTCTTCTACCATCCAGCCACTTTTTGGGCATTTATATACAGATCCGGGAGATCCGACTTTTTCTAAAGCAGGTGTCATTCGAATTCTTGGGTATAGAAACATTGGTGGGGTAAAGGATCCACTTGCAGTCATGCAACAGCATACGGTTATATGTTTACCTCTTTCCCCACTAGTTGCATGGCCTATTTGCTTTTGTTCTTTTTGGCCCTATAATTCGATTTGGTCTGGTATCAATACTGATTCCCGTCTCATCGACATTAAAAACACGGGTTGGCTTAAAATTATGCTTTGCTATTAGGTTTTCTAAATTGTCAAAAAATCTTTTTATTTCCAGCTCGTTAAATCCTATTATACGATTAATGCTAGTAGCCTCAGGTTTCCGAAAGCTTAATTGATGATATCTGCGCATAGAACCATACATCCAGTCTTTACCGGCTTCCTTCTTCTCCTTATTAAATCTGTGTTGAATTAATAGTTTTTCAACGTAAGACTAAACTGCACATCTTAACTGGAGTGGAGTTAGATCGTAAAACATTTTTGAGAGAAGAAGTAAATGTTGACAGATATCTTCTTCCTGTTTTGCTGTAAAAATAGTTGTAGTTCCCATTCTAGCCTTATAATAGCCCGATTTTACTCGATTTTGTAATGAAGTTACCGGTACATCAAAATGACGGGCAGCTGCTCGCAGACCATAACGACTCTCGTTAACTGCTGCTATTGCCATCTTTATCTGCTCCTCAGACCATGAGCATTTGCTTGTCGTTCGTTTCCTTTTAAAAGGCACCTGAAAATAATAATTAAATGTTACCACTTATTTAAGTGTCGGGAAATGGCAAACATCATAAAAGGTAATAAGGAACATCTGTTTGGTAATACCCGATTTTGATGTTAAAGAATTTAGTCATAGTAAAACTTTTATTTTTTATTGAAATTGATGAACAGTAGTCTAAATTATAACCAACATGTTACTAAGTAGAAATATAGTAATACATTTAATTTGTAACTTATGTATTTTTTACATACCTTAATTTCCATCACGGAGAAACACTAAAAATGGCTAAACAAAACGAACATGCGATCACGCTACCGAAGAAACTCGACTAAAGTCACCTACTCACTGGTATCAGCGTTAGGAAAGCCTATTTTGACACGTTTGTCGTTAAGACTCTATTCAAGAGATGGAGTTAAGGTCTTAAATGAAGTGTTCCTCATTAGCCACTGTTTGTGATTACCCGTCGCTCCCCTATTCCACTACAGAATCTGCATTTCTTATTAACGACCCTGTATACGATATGTTTAAATAAATTACACATCTAAAAATATACGGGGTGGTCAGTAAACAAAGATATATAGTATGCAATTTTTCTTTGTCAATTAATTATTGTTTAAAAAGCGATTCGTTGAAATTAACATTTTGTTATTTTTTTTACCGCAATTTAAAGAGACAAGAGAGCAATGAACAACTTTCTTGCGCTATAAAATAAAAAATAACAGTAATGATCTGCAAATTAATAGCAAAGATATAAAAATAATATATAACCGACTTAAACCCACCTCTTTACAATGCATATTTGTTGATCATATTTGGATTTTTTTTTTAAATTTAGTTTTGCCTACTTCACTAGATTTATTTTCTTTATCATACACTTCGGAGTTTTCAGGCTTTGGAGGTCTACGAAAATAATTTCGTGGACCTATTATTTGCCTGGCTAGTGACTACTTCATCTCTATCAAAGTTTTCTTATCAGTTGCGATCTCTTTAATTCTGTCAATTCATTTTCTGGGTCTTCCTCGCCGTCTTTTTCATGCTTTCCCTATTTCCATTACTTTTCTCGTTGGTCTGTCTACTTTCATTCTTAGTTGGGGACCATATCAGTTTAATTGTATCTTTTTGATCTTTGTTATTATTGGTTCCTGTTTAATCAGTTTTTTAACCATTTCTCATCTTCACCTTTTAGTTTTCCCCGCTAATTTATTTCATTTTCATTGCATATATTTTTATTTTATATATTTTTTTGTCTGTATCAATATATGTATGTTTCAGTATTGTTTTATTTAAAGGTGTAGTATGTACATTCTGGTTGCTTTATTTGATTCTTTGTAAGTTCCGCATCGATTCTTTCTTCATCACTGGTTTTCCATTCAAAATATCTATAAATTTATCTATTTCTTTTATTCCAATAATGAACAGTCCTATTTCCAAACTTTGAACCATTTTTTTTTGTTCTTCGCCTTTAAAACTACACTACCGTCAGACACAAGACTCGCAGAGAGGATAAAAAAATATTGATCTCGATGACAAAACTGGATCAGTAATCCACTAGTTTTCGAACATGGATCGGGTTAGTAACCCTAGGTAAACGAACAATCGGTTTCGTAATCTTTCTGATTCGAGTAAGTTTCCCAAAACTCCTTAAGGCGGGTACAGATATGAGCACGTACGCGTATGAGGCAAGCCGAGGCCGAACCGAATGCCTCGTGCGGCGCATTTTGTATACACGAATGGTTGACGCGCGAGTCGCTGTGCGCCACTGATTCAGTAAATTCGCGAGCACGCAACCGTTTACCCAGAATATTGGTAAAATTAAAACAAAAATGAAGGATGAGCATGACGTTGCGGAGTTGAGTGCATGTTTTAATATTTTATCCGACACATTAAAGAAAAAAGGAGAGAAAGGAATCGATGGCCGATTTCCTGCCAAGGATATTCTTTATGGGGTTGTAATAGAACTGGCGTTTTGCTCTTTTAAGGTATCACGCTGATTATTTAAATCCAGGAGAAGCAAAACGTTTTCCTGGTTCCTTTTCATGCAAAATAAATCCTAAAAACTCGCAATAATCTGTACGGTGTTGTATGGTACAAATTCCCCGTCCAGACTGAGCACGTACTGCGCATTGCCTCCCTTTGATGTACCGCCAACAAACGGATCGGGGCGAGGCCGTACGGCGCACAAAACGAGGCAATTTGCCGCATCTCGGAAGCCCGTCCACATCTGCATGCTCATGCGTCCTCGGCTTGCCTCCTGTTTGTGTGTGTGTGTGTGTGTGTGTGTGTGTGTGTGTGTGTGTGTGTGTGTGTGTGTGTGTGTGTGTGTGTGTGTGTGTGTGTGTGTGTGTGTGTGTGTGTGTGTGTGTGTGTGTGTATGCGTGAACAAATGTTAAACTTAGGCTGTAATCCATCTTGCAGTAAGCTGATTAGGTTGGACACAGTCGAAACAACTGGCGAGTACTTTATAGAGGGTATTTTTTTTACTTTATGAAATATATCTATTATTAGGGCTGAAGAAGAAAATAATTTAAATAGAAGTTTTGTCATTCTCTATAATTTTTGTTTTATATACAATTTTCCTAAAATGATCCGTATTCGAGAAAATTTTTCAAAAAGTGCAAATTTTTTAGAAAATGTTTTAAGTAAAAGTTGCTTGTGATGTCATTCTCTATAATGTTTGTTTCATACAAGATTTCCCTAAAATGGTCCGTATTCGAGATATTTGAAAAAAAAGTTCAAATTTCGAGTTTTAACGATAACTCAAAAACGGATAAAAAGAAAAGCACCAAATTTAAACCCCAAGCTTTAATCCATCCGACAATGAGCTGATTAAATTTTGGATAGAGTCAAAGCATCTAGGGGGTACTTTATTAGGTGCCGTTCTTTTTAATTAAAGGAATGTCTTTTTTATTTACGATTGGAGAAAAATATTCTTTAAATAAATGTTGTTTGCGATATCATTCTCTATTATGATGTTTTATACATGATTTCTCCAAAATGGATCAAAATGGAAAAATTTGAGGAAAAATATAAAATTTTAATTTCTCACTATTTTCGTTGGCAATGAATGTATATAAGAAAATATTTCGAGTAAGGTGTTCATTGAAAATGTATGTATTTAGTTCTTCCTCTAAACATTTATAGGGGTGATACTATAGATTGTACAATATAACCAAAAAAGGTCTATAATAACTAGACAGAAAAGTCATTAGATTTTTAAACTTTGAGTTGTCTGATGTATCGTTTGCAGGGGTTCAAAAATAAATATTTGCAGATGACACTTCCTGACGGTCCGCTAACCACTTCACAAATTTCCAGCCGAAGGCAGAGGTACGATCGTACTACCTTGCAATCAGTGGCGAATTTATAATTAGGCTAACTAGGCTATAGCGTACAGTGGCAAATTTTCGCAGACGACAAATTTTCAAAGGCGGATATTTTTTCCGTGACCACTAAAACGGAATATTATTTTCGCAGAATTTCTTATCTCTCAACTCTGTTCTCGGTAAGTTGTTGTAATGAATCTACAAAATTATTTTACATTTCTGCAACTACAAGCTACAACTTGTTTTCGACATCTACGATGGTCATGCAGAGGTGATGTCTGCAAGGGTTTAGTAAAGTCTTGGAAAGATATTCAAAATACTCCGAAAGCAATCTCAAATGACAGTTCAGAGAAGGCGTTTATAAAAACAGAGGTAGAAGGAAAAGGAAATGATAAGAATTTAAACTGCTATTTTGATTGTTTTTTGAAGTAGTATTCTGAAACGCATTAAAGCAGTTAGTAAAAAATTACAACAGGAAGTTACATATATTGGATTGGCCATCGATTTCTACAAATCCTTAATTTTATTTATTTCATCTTGCCGTGAGAACTTCACAAACTTTAAAGATGATTCGTAAGCAAGCGAAAAGTTAACATTTTGGTGAAAGCGACGATGATGAAAAATTTTGTTAGGTCCTAGGGTTGATTTCAAAATGAACATGGATAGGAGAACGGCCAGGTTTTCCCTGATTAATGGTAGACATAAGTAGAGTGCGAGAGCTTGAAAATCCTCAAGGCTACCACCGTGAACTAACTCCCCCAATCTAAAGTGTAAGGTAACGTGGAGACGGATGAATTGTCGCAGGGGCAGATACGGCAGCAATCGCCAACCTGAGGGAACCTGGCGACACCCTCTTGTATCTAGCCTTGCCGGAGCGTAGGGGGCTCTGAGTCGATCGACCTGTCTTTCCCTAGGTACTCGTGGAAACCATATGGATACACAAACAGAAAAACAAGAACCCAAAGAGACTAGACGTCAACGCTCACTTCCAGCAAAGGAGACTGGACAACAACGTCCAACTCCAGAGTAGGAGGCTAGACAGCGACGATCACTTCAAAAAAAAAGGAGGATAGACGTTAACGCTCACCTCCTGCAACGGAGCCAGCACAACAAAGCTGAGCTCCTGCACAGAAACAGGAACAGCGACGCTCACCTACAAAAAAGGAGGATGGACACAGTAGTTCACCTGCAAGTAACAGGCCGTGGAGAGGCAAGAGAATCTCTGGATCTGAAGCAAAAAGGAGGAAGAGAGATAAGCTGCAGGCAGGCACAACAAACAGGCCCCGAAAGGCAAGAGAATCGCTGGGTCTTCAGCAAAGTGGAAGAGGAATAAGCTGCAGGCAGGCAGTGCTACGGCAATCGCCACCGTCAGCAAACTCCCTCACTCCAAACTAAACAAAAGTGGCTTAAGTCCTTAGGCAGTGACGCTAGTTCTGCCTCCACAAGAATCCAGGAACACGGCGCAACTAGGGACAAGAAAAGGCCGCGATCTCACACCTTCCAAGGTAACGCCCCGGAAGAGAAAAAAACCCAGACAGAACAGAAGTTCTGATGGTATTTATAAATCAATTCTAAACTGACAAGTGTATGATAACATTTCGATGTCAGACCACCGCTGGTTAAAATTTAAAATAAACTTGATGTTGCCGACCTCCACGTTATCTCGGAACCCTATAAAGACGGACAGGGCAACCTATGCCCACCTTCTCCAAGAGGCTCTGAGAGAGATGGAGGCCGAAACACCAAACAATAACAATGCTTTGGAGAAAAACTCGAACACTGTCCAAAGCACAATGAACAATTCCTATAAGAAATCCTGTCCTCTGATGCTGGTCCAACATGATCAGACGACTACCGCATGGTGGTGTCATGAGTTGAATCATCTCAGGAAGATGACTAAGAAATACTTTAATGAGACAAGAAAGAACCACCAAATTCAAAAAGGAATGTGATACTTACAAATTTCACCTCAGTTAATACAAAAAAATTGTCAAAAGAAAAACAGAGAAATGCATGGAGATCCGCAGGTAGCGAGGCTTAAAAATCTTTCTCAAAAGATCCAAACCGAAGCATTGGTGCGCTAATCAAAGAGGATGGCACGAAAACTGCCAATCTCGAACATCAAACTTTTGCTGCCAACACACTTCCCTGACTCGGTCATCACAGACGTGGCCGACTGGGCAGAGTAAGAATACAACCCATCTGTATATGATTGGCAAACTGCCAAAGACATTGTAACCGATGAAAAAATTAGATGGGCAATATCCAGCTTCTCTCCATTTAAATCGTCAGGACCTGACAGTATTTATCCAGTCTTACTTCAGTGAGGTCTGGAAGAACTCTTACCGCACCTGGTGGGTATATTCAGATCCTGGTTGGCTCTGAGGTATATCCCCAAAAAATGGAGAGGTAAAAGTGGTATTCATACCCAAACCTGGAAGGATGGATTACACTGTCCCAAAAATATACCAACCAATTAGTCTGACATCGTTTTCCATGAAGACATTGGCTATGCAAAAGGTATATAAGGGTGCAATGATTACAGCAACACCACTACACCCAAACCAACATACATAAAAATCACTTCGCACCCGTCAAACAGCGTGAAATTAATCCTTAAACTTCAAAATAGATAATTACCCAAATAAGACGATCAGATATAAACTTAATTTTACTTTTAAAAATAAATGCACTCTCCAAAGTACACTGCAAGCGAAAATCCCTTCGGACTTGTCAAACAGGGTGAAATTAATCCTTATACTTCAAAATAAATAATTACCCAATGAAGACGATCAGATCACAATTAATTTTACATTTAATAAATCATAAATGCACTCACCAAAGTATAATGTAAGCGAAAATCCCTTCGACTCTTCAAACAGAGTCAAATGAACGCTGAAACTATAAAATAAATAATTACCCAATGAAGACCCAATTTAAATTTAAAAAATCATAAATGTATTCACTAAAGTACACTGTAAACGAAAATCCCTTCGGACCCGTTAAACAGGATAAAATTCACCCTTATTCTTCAAAATAATTAAATACACAATGAAGACGATCAGATGCCAATTTAATTCTACATTTTAAAAATCATAAATGCACTCATCAAAGTACACTGTAAGCGATTTTCGCTTTCAAACAAGGTGAAATTAACCCTGCAACTTTAAAATAATTACCCAATGAAGACATTCAGATCCCCACTTGTTTATACATTCAAAAAAAAAACATAAATACACTCACCAAAGTACACTGTTTGAGAAAATCCCTTCGGACCCGACAAACAGGGTAAAATTAACCCTTACACTTTAAAATATATAATTACCCAATGAATTCGATCAGATCCCAACTAGGTTTTACATTTAAAAATCATAAATACACTCACCAAAGTAAACAAAAATCCCTTCGAAACCGTCAAACAGGGTAAAATAAACACTTAAACTTCAAAATAAATAACTGACCAATGAAGATGATCAGATCATGACCTAATTTTACTTTTAGAGAATCAAAAATACACTCACCAAAGTACACTGTAATTTTTTAAATGTAAAACCAAGTTGGAATCTAAACGTCTTCATTGGGTAAATATTCCACCCTGTTAGAGGGGTCCGAAGGGATTTTCGCTTACAGTATATTTTGGTTAGTGTATTTATGATTTTTTAAATGTAAAATCAAGTTGGGATCTGAATGTCTTCATTGGGTAAATATTTCACCCTGTTAGATGGGTCCGAAAGGATTTTCGGTTACAGTGTTGTTTGGTGAGTGTATTTTTGATTTTTTAAATGTAAAATGAAGTTGGGATCTGATCGTCTTTTTGGGATAATTATTTATTTTAAAGTTTAAGAGTTAATTTCACCCTGTTTGACGGGTCCGAAGGCATTTTTGCATACATCGTTTGTTACTAAGATCAATTATTATTTTTTAATTTAAAAATAAGTAAAATATTTATTGCATTCAGTAATTATTTTAAAAATTTTTAGGGATTAATTTTAATCTGTTTGATATGTAATTTTTAATTTTTGTTTAAATTGTATATTATATATTGATATAATATTGTATTTTTGAATATTAAAGAAAATTGGGATCTAATCGCTTTCATAGGATAATTATTTTTTGAATTTTAAGGGTTTAATTTTACCCCCATTCAACGGACCTGAGGAATTTTTACTAACAGCGAATGTTAGTGCATTTATGATTTATTGTATGTAAAATCAGTTTCGAATCTGATCGCTTTCATGGGATAAATACTTTTATAAATTTTAAGTGTTATTTTCAACCGTATATTATTTGTACAGTAAGGTGTAAAATACATATTGACAAGATTAATAAAATAGTTGTATACCGGACGCCACTGTTTTCCCGATCGGGTGTTTTCGGTTATTTTTACTAATAAAAGTTACTGCTAACTTCACACCGGTCAAAGTTATTAATATTATAACGTCTCCGCGCCGCTAGACTTCATACCGCGGGCAAGGAGTAAACAATGCACAGAGTAGGCTTTTACGCGACAATATTCTTGTAAAATCTTATTTTTAATGGTTGCAACAATTTTCGTTTTACTGAAATTATATATAATTCTGAATTAATCAGTTAATTTTGTGCTTTTAGTAACTAGCTTTTTAAAAATAAAAAAGAGAGTTATTGGCGCCCTCTATATCCTGAAGAATATTTCCCAAAAAGTCTGAATCCATGACTGGGAAAACTATAGTCTCATCTGCTTATTTGTTTTTTGTTTGATTTAATTAAGGTAAATAATTGTTTGGTATAAAATATCTAAGAGCTAGTCAAAATTAAATAAAATCAAATAACAAAGGTAATTAAACGTTAGTTATCACTAGCGGTGGCTTATTACAACGAAAAGGACACTTGAGCAGGGCTAAATAGCTTAATGTCAAAACAGCGTAAAAAAAACTAGTGCTGGTACTAAATAGCACAGGACAAAAATCTCTGGTACAAAATAGCGGAAGAAAAACAGGGCGATGACAAAAACATGTAGAGGAAATAGCGACTGGAAAAAATAGCGTTGGACACATTACACTAAAAAGCAACAAACAGCGCTCTTTTTATTATTTGAAGTGTAAACGTAGTCCAGTGTATGGTGTTTGTAAAATTGCTCCTGTTAAAGTTTAAATATTTTTATGGTTCTAAGTGTCTAAAAATTATGAATTATGAACCTATGACTACAAAAGTGATTAGTTAACCACTCTTACAACTGTGAGTAAAAACACTTGATTAATACGAAATCTTTGCATACTTTTCATCATTTACTCTACTGAAGTATATATCAGCCAACGGCTGAGACTAGTTTTTGTGCTCGAGATAGTAAAGATAACATCAAGAGATAATAATAAAATTAATTTATATTGTATCCAATATTTCGTTTAGTAAACTACGTTTACACAAATTTATTGTTGAACTTTAATTAAATCATGACGGAGGCAGTTATCAAAAAACTACTCGAAGAAAACTCAAAAAAGCTTATAGATGTTATGGAGAGCAATAAAACTGAGCTTAAGAATGCATTAAGTTCCTGCGAAACGAGATTACAGTCGTCTATTGAGCTAGAAAGTAAAAAAGTACGAGATCTGGAAGAAGAAAATTTCAAATTAAAAAATAAAGTTGAACAGTTGGAAATAACTCTAAAAAGAAACAACATTATTATATTTGGTCTTAAAAAAACCAATAATACAATAAACTTAAATTTTATCATCGATATAATTAATAAACTTTTCGACATAAGTTTAATTGATTCGGATATCTCCAACTTTTACTCTTTGGGCAGAGACCTCAATGCTCCTCTAAAAATTGAATTTTGTAGCTATCTCAAAAAAAAAAGTATTCTTCTCAATTCCAATAAATTAAAGAATACAGGAGTTTTTGTGGCGGATGATTTAACTGAACTTCAAAGAGCTCAGTATAAACAACTCAAGGAATATCTTTTGAAATATATGGAAGAAGGCAAACATTGCTTCATACGAGGCAACAAATTAATTTTGGAAAATACAAGTTACTCACTGGATGATCTAGATAGTCTAAAAACTCAAAAAATCGATAGTGCCCCTTCCACTCCTGGCTCAAGTTCTGACCCCTTTAACATACAGTTGGAAGACAAACCTACGAAGCAAGCCGTCGCCGCCAACTCAACCATTTCGAAGTTGGATAAATTGGGTAAAGTGCATCAAGTTCCTGTGGTTAAGAAGACCACACGCTCAACTTCAAAACAGTAGCAAACTTCTAGCCTCTTAAGGTCGAGTTGCTGAAATTTTGTCGCGTTAGCATAAATATTTGCTTATTATTATACATTTATTATTTATCTCTCATACTTTTAGAAGGTTTTAGTTTTCTGAGCTTTTATACTCTTTTTTTTTTAGCATATATTTTATTGGGTGTGTTTTTTTTTATATGCTTTTGGTCAATGGCTTTTACTGTAGGGCATTTAAATGTCTGTTCGCTTTTTCCCAAAATTAATAATATTAAAAATCTGGTTACGTCTAAAAATTTTGATATTTTTTGTATATCTGAAACTTGGTTACACAATAGAATTGATGATGAACTAGTTAATTTAAAAGGTTACAACTTGATTAGTAACGATAGATCTATGAAACGGGGAGATGGTGTGGCAATCTACTTAAAAAAATCAATTGAATATAAGGTTTTGCTTATAGAGAATTTTGAGTCTATTGAACAACTTTGGATACTATTCAAAACAAATAATGTAAAATATGGATTAGGTGTAGTTTACAGGCCTCCTAATAACACCAATGACATTTACCAGTCTTTTCTCAATCATTTTGAAAATGCCTTAATTCATGTTTACCCGGAAGTAGATAAAATGTTGTGTCTTGGCGATTTTAATGTCGATAATTTAAAACTTCAATCTCAAAAACTTAATGATCTAATATCTGTTACAGATACTTTTCAGTTAAATCAAATTGTCTCTGATCCTACTCATTTTTCTAATAATACCATGACTCTAATAGATCATATCTATACAAACTTCGATGTGGACTGTTGCGATGTAACTGATGTAAATATAGGTAGACACTCCCTGGTTTGGTGTAAATTTAGAACGTCTTTAGAAAAAGCGTCTCCAAAAAATGTAACTTTTAGGAAACTCTATGATATAGATTTAAATATTTTCCAACGTGCGCTGGAGGCACAAGACTGGAGACAAATTTTGTACATTTATAATATTGATGCTAAATTAAGCTATTTTAATAAAACAATTTTAAATTTAGTTAACGAGTTTGCACCTCTTCAAACTCGCACTATTTTACACAACATTAAAAAACAACCCTGGATTACAGACAATATCAAACTACTACAAAAACTCAGAGATAAGGCTTTAAAAAAGTATCGTAAATCTAAACTGCCTGCTCACTGGGAGTACTATAAGGAACTCAGAAATTTCACTTCTGCTTCTATTAAGAGAGAGAAAAAAGCATACTTGCAATACAGATTATCCCGCTGCAATTCTAAAGAGAAATGGTGTGAACTACATAGACTTAATATTAAAACTAATAAAAACCGTGATTTACCTTCAAATTTGAGCGACGTAAACAAATTAAATAATTTCTTTATTGGTGATCCTACTATTACTGATCCTGATATGAACACCTTTCAATGCTATAACAACAATATTTGCCATAAAGTGCGTGAAGAATTTCAATTCACCAATTTCAATGAAGACCAAATTTTGGAAATCATAAAAACAACTAAATCTAAGGCTTACGGAGTGATAATTTAAATATCGATATCATATTAATTTGTTGTCCGTTTATTTTAAAGTATATTTCACATATATTTAACGAATGTATAAACGTTGGTTACTTTCCCACTGCTTGGAAGCATGCATATGTCATTCCTCTACCTAAAGTCTCCCAACCGCTACAATTAAATCAACTAAGAAGTATAAGCATTCTCCCGGTCCTTTCCAAAATTTTTGAAAAACTCTTAGAAAAACAACTAAATTTGCATATAAAAAAATTCGATATTCTTCCCAAAACCCAATCAGGATTTAGAAGTGGATATGGGTGTTCAACCGCTTTAGCCGATGTTACCGATGACATATTGCGCTCACTTGATGCAAATAAAGTATGCACATTAGTACTAATTGATTATTCACGTGCATTTGACACATTGAACAACAAACTTCTATTAGCAATTTTGCATTTTATTCGTCTCAGCCATTTGTCGATCAAAATTATAACTTCGTATCTAACAAACCGCGTTCAACAGGTGGTTCTTAACAACACTTTCTCTAATTGTTTGTTAGTCAGAAAAGGTGTTCCTCAGGGCAGCATTCTTGGCCCATTACTGTACACCTTATATACATCCTTCCTACATTCACATCTAAATCATTGTAAGAGCCATTTATATGCTGATGATACACAAATTTATTATTCTTTTGAACTGTCTAAAATTGAAGAGTCGGTCAGGCGTATTAATGACGATCTCTCTATTCTTGTAAGTGCATCTGAAAAACACTCATTGCATATCAACTCAACAAAATGTTATGTTATTGTATTTTGCAGTGAAAATAACCGACAGCTGATCTTGCCACAAATACAAATCACCTTAGGGAATGAAATTTTAAAAATTAGTTCCTCGTGTAAAAATCTTGGTTTGACTATTGACTCGCAATTAAGGTTTGATAAACATATTAACTAGAAGGTTAGGAAAGCCTACTCTTCCCTAAAACTAATTTATCCACATAGAACAGATTTGTCTACTGCAACTAAACAAATGCTTACTGATTCTCTTGTTTTATCGCACTTTAATCATTGCGACACGGTATATGGTTCTTTTTTACGATTAATTGATAAGAATCGAATTCAGAAAGTACAAAATAGTTGTTTAAGGATGATCTATGGCATAAGGAGAAGGGAGAAGATTTCTTATAAATTAAAAGAGGCGAATTGGCTGAACATGTTTAATCGTCGGAAACTTCATTCTCTCTGTTTATTTTATAAAATAGTTAAGACCAAAATTCCCTCATACTTACATCAAAAGATAAGTTTTCGGACCGACGTCCATCATATTAATTTAAGGAAAAAGAATGCCATTACCATTCCATCTCATAATAAACAAATATTCAAAAAATCATTTAGCTACCAAATTGCATTGAACAGTCATCTTCTTGATATACCAAATTTCAGTCTTTCATTAACAGCTTTTAAAAATAAATACAAACAAATTTTTTTACGCGAACAGACATTTTAAATTTTAAGTCTTTTTTTGTGATTTTTAATATTTATTAATATAGATTAAGGTTCCTTTCACTAGTTAATTATTCTTTTAACTGTATTTTTAAATTATTCTAGATATGTATATGTATTTTTACTCTTTATTTTACTTATTTATTTTTTTCAAGGCGAGTGAGGTAGAATTGGTCTTATGACCTATCACTCGACCTTTTATTTGCCTAATTAGTATATTTAGTGTATTTTTGTTTTTTTTATATTTTGTATTTTTGTACATCCTTTATTGGCAAATAATAAACTATTATTATTATTATTATTATTATTATTATTATTATTATTATTATTATTATTATTATTTATTAATAATATTAAATTCAAAAAAGCGGGGCGCTCCTGGTTGCACAGATTGTCATTTTAATTTTGCTTATTTTATGTATGATTTTTTTGCGAAGCATCCCGCGATGGCACAGGTTAATCATAAAATGAGAAAAATTAAAAAACAAAACTTATTTACCTGTGCGGCCTGGAGCGCTAATTTTTTTTGGGATATTTTGACCCAGCGCTTTTTCATATCATTGCTATTTTATCTGTAGGCTATTATGTCCTTACGCCATTTTTCCGGTGCTATTTTATCTGAGCGCTTTTCGTGAATGACCTATTTGTTCTTGCGCTGTTTTATCCTGGCGCTGTTTCTCTTACGGTATTTCGTCCTGCATTGTATTGTCTTGTACTATTTAGTGGCAGTACCGTTGAAAAGTGTAATGCGAGCGAAAGGGAAGGCGATTTTTATTTAGTTGAATATCTTTAGGTTCGCCTCATATGTTATAAGATAATATATGAGTTTTTATTTTCTGTTTAAATGCAGTTTGTTTGAATTTTATGTGATCCTAATTAATTTGTATTCCTTATTTTGGTACTTAAATTTAGATTTGAAAAATTTAACATAGGCGGCGATTTGTTTCAGCCTGTAGGCGGCACATTCGTTAATCCGCCTCTACTTGCCACCTCTTAGACTATAATACTGAATTGGAACCATTTCTAAAACTTCTAGTTTAGCTGCTATGCTCCGAGCGGAAATAATTTGATATCTCTGTATTAAGGAGCAGTCAAATTATTAAGAAAAAAAGTAACTATTTAATATACAGATTATACACTGTTTTTGATTAAGATCCAGAACTACTCGTATGTAGGGTTCTTGTTCGTTAAACACAATAAGTAAAAAACAGAAACATTTGTCGCGAGCCTTTTGAAATATCGAATTTCCGTTAATAATGTGCGGGCTGCTGATTTCGAGATATGTCGTTTTGAATTATAATTGACACACATTCGGAAATCCATGGCTAGCATTCCTTGAAATAATCCGAACGGTCGAAAAGGGAGAAAAGAGAGAAAAAAATAGGGAAAAAGTCGAGCATAAACCATTGGCAAGCGTCCGAATCAGCGTCCGTCCGCTTCGTACAGAGCTCGCTTGTTTTCGACCAATGTTCTGTACAAATTGCACTTCTTTGATGATAAACTTACTAAAAGCTAATTGCCATGCGTTGATTTGTAAACTGTTTTTGCCACCACTGCGTAAGTTATGCGAACTACTAGTAATTTATAACGTTCTTAACGCTTTTTCTTCGAGAGATTTATTAGTCTATTTCCTCTGGAAGATATCATATAATTAGGGGAATTTTATCTCGCGTAATTTTGCTTATTTGGAAATGACTAGGATTAAAAGTCGTAAGTTCTGTGGTGGATTTACCGGTACGGTTAGTACCACATCCCCAACTAGCCATTCATAAAAGTGTATTTGTTGTGAAGTTCTCATCATCATCTATTGTATAGTCCAGGAGACAGTGACGATTTTCGGTATTTATTTTCCCAGTCAGCAAGTACGAATAGAGAATTGTAGGATTAGCAATTCTAAGCAAAATTCATATATATTTAGAGGGGGGATCCGATTTGCTGAGGCCGAAAATGCGTCAAAACATACGAGAACACGGCCCTTTTTTTCCATTGATAAAAATAGTTTTAGTAGT